CTGTGAGGCACAGGGGCAGGGCTGCCAGTTCAGAGGCTGCTTTTTCCAGGGAAATCTTTGTCAGGCAGTGGAGCTGGTCTCAGGGAAGGGGGGACCCTGGGAATGCGACATTTCAGGTTCCTGCTCTGCAGTTGCTCCTTCCTTGCATCATCCTCCATCAGTCCTGTGTCACCCTCCATCACTCCTTCCTCCTCCTCGATCTGTGCTGGTGCTGGCCCCGGCCTTGGAGGTGGCTCTGGCCCCAGCGGTGGTGGCCGTGGTCGTGGCCCCGGTGGCCCTGGCAGCCACCGCACAGCCGTTTGCCCTCCTGTGGCCCCTGGCCCTGCCCACCCGGCCCGTGAGGTGCTCAGCAGCAGCTGCTCTGCCACGCTGCTCTTGCTGCAGGTTAATTCTCATTAAATCCAGGGAGCCTAATTGCCATTTCATGTAAATATTTTGTCAAGTGGAAGGGCTTCAGGAAGGGCAGGGGCGAGGAGCCAGGCTCAGAGACAGGCTCTGGCTCATGCTCAGCCCGGGGAGTGAGCTGAGCCCCCGTGGAGCTGTTCTGTCCCCTGCAAGGAGCCAGAGCACAGCTGGAACCAGCTGCTGGTGGTCGCTGTGCAGAAGTGTTCCTGCTGGATGATGGGGACACGGGACAGCTGCAAGTTGGTGTCAGTTTGTGGAGAGCTCAGGGCAGAGGAGGAGGGGTGACACGGGAGGCTGGGGGACATCCCCAGGTGCCAGCCCAGCCCTCTCCTGCTCTGCACGGTGCTGGCAGCTCTGGCCAGAGGCTGATGGATCCCCAGGCCCCATCCTGTTCCCCCTGTAGTGGGTCAGGAACATGAGGTGTTGGGTTTTTTTCCCCTGGATCCCATTAAACTTCCACGTGCTTTCCCTCCATTCCTGCTCCCCTCCTGCTGTCTCAGGCACTGGCTGTGGTTTGGTCACAGTCCCCTCCTCACCTGGTGAGGTCATACCTGGGTGCTCCATCTTTGGGAATTCAGAGCAGGCAGTGTCTCCAGTGACCCCTGAGAGCTGCTGGAGGAGCAGGGTGAGACAGAGAGGTTGAACAGGGTGCCAGGGGGGCTTCTCAGTCCCTTCTGGCTGTCCAGGTCTATGCCCCAAGCTGGGGCCATCCCCCTGGCCAAGGCACTGGGAGTGTGGGGCCTTCCTTGCCATGGGATGTTCCTCCTCACACAGCAGCTCAGATCTGTTAGTGCCTTAATCTAATTGCCTGATGTCTTTGAATAACTACTAATGAGCCTTTAATTAATGAATGCCACGGCTTGGGGGCATTTTGGCGTGGGTGGGAGGAGAGGATTGGGTTGGTACCAATGTCCCTGGGTGCTGCTGGGCTGCCAGCACTGCACTCACAGGGTGACCCCGGGGGGCTGGAGCACCTGAGCTCCCCAGTCCAGCCTCGAGGCAGAGGTTGTGTCTTGCCTGATCTGCAGCTCTCACCAGCGTCAGCATGCGGCTTTGCCCTGTGGGAGAGTGCTGCAGGGACCACAGGGTACCATCAAACACCAGGCACTGGCAGCCCCTGGAACACCCAGAGCCCCCCCAGCTGTGCACTGTGCCCCCCAGCAGCTCCACGGCAATGCCAGGAGAGGATTCACAGGGGTCCCAGGAAGGACCGTGGTGCCAGATGCTGCATTCCCCATTGCATCCTGTGGGTCACTCTGGGCATGGAGCTGGGCCAGCTCTGGGCTGGCAGCAGCTCTGACAGGTGCTCAGGGCTTGGTGCAGCACGTGCAGGGCCCTTGGCACCTGGATGTGCTCAGCAGAGCTGGGGACGGGGCTCCAGGCAGATCTCTGGGCCTCGTGGATAAAGTTTCCCAATGGTGGAGTGTCCTTTGGAGGAGCCCTGAGCTTTTCTGGCATTTCCCAAGGAGAGGACAGCACCTCACCAGCTGCCTTGGGCACCTCCCAACAGCTCCCAGCTGTGCCACAGGTACATCCCGGTGCCTGGAGCAGCCAGGTGTGCTGCCCTGTGCCTGGCAAGTCCCCTCAGAGGTTTGGGGGGCGCATTCCCACCAGTACTCCCAGTGCAGCCTCTGTCCTTTGGCTCCAGCACCGGAGCAGTGGCCAAGACCTCTCCTGTCCCAGTGCCATGTTGTTCTCCCTCTTCCAGAAAAAAAACAACCAAGGAGCCCTGAAGGGTTCATTTAAAATAAATAAAAAAACTGTGAATTGTGCTGATTTGAAGGAAAGGCAGCCCCATCCTGAGCGGGGGAGCGCAGTGCCAGCCCAGCCCCGAAGGGCAGAGAGAGATGTGCTGAGAACTGCAGCCCTGTGCAACTTCAGCCTTTGATCGTATATCTCACACGTGCCCTTTGCTTTCCCTCTGCTGATATTTATTAGGTTTAATTTTACTGGGACACGGCTGTAAGTGAGACAGATGGAATGGGGTCTGTGCGCCTGGTGAACACATCTTAATTAAACAGATAAATAAACTTTCATTCCAGGAGGCTTCGGTTTCGGAGGTGCTCCTCCGGGGCTGCGGCTCTGCGGGGCTGGGCACAGCCCTGGTGCCACCAGCGGTGCTGGCTGGCACTGTGGCACAGTCCCTGGGAGCAGCAGGGTGAGGGAAGCAGCCAGGGGTGGCCAGCAAGGTGTTCCCCACTGGAGCTGACCGGGGTTCGGTGTCACCCTGCCCAGCCGGTGTCCCCAGGGCTCCCCGCTGCAGAGGGACGTCTCTGGTGGCAGGAGAGGGGAGAGAGGAGACTCCAACACTCCTCAGCTCGCAGAGCTGTGCCCATTTCGCTGCTGGCTCAGGGCAGTGCCAGCACTTGTGGTGCTGCCACCGGCCAGGAATGCCTTTGAGTCACCCTGGCCGGAGCCGGCGGGGGAGGATGGGCACATTACCTCATCCTGGAGCCAGTCCTGCCTCACGTGGTTCCTTCACTGGGCACCGCAAGGCCAGTGTGCCAGGCAGTGCCCTGCCGTTGTCACCTCCAGGAGCTGCAGTGGAGCCAGACTGGCCCAGGCCCTTTGGAGCTGCCTGTTGGCTCGCTCAGTGTTCCCCAGGGTCTGTGAGGTGCCCGCAGGTGCAGCTTCGTGGGGGAGCCCCTCTCCCCTCAGCCGCCCAGAGGGCTGTGGGAGGACACCCTTGTCCCTCTCAGAGCTGTACCACATCCTTGCCCAGGTGCTGGCGTGCCCAGGAGGGCACCAGGGGCATGGGGGTGCCTGGGAAGGGAGGCTGGAGCCCAGCAGGAGTGTGGGGTCTGAGCACCAGGGTGTGCTGAAGGGGCCTCTGCATCTGCCGTGATCCTTGGGGCTGGAGGGGGAGCAGATGTGGTGGGGCACCCACGGGGAGCAGTGCCCGGGGATGCTGTGGGCAGCAGATGTCACTGCTGGACCTTTTTGGTGCCCGGTACCGCAAGGTGGTGGTGGTGGTGACAAAGCCTCCCCCTGGCCTGGCGTCTCCTCCCTAATTTGGCTCCTGGCAGCCCCTTTGGAGTGCAGTTCCCCCAGTCTTAGGGCTCCCTAGCAGGGGCTGGCCCCTTTCTCAGGCCGGCTCTTCCAGAGCTGTTTGCAGCAGGTTTTCCCTGGGCCGGCCGTGCCACACGCTGCTGCTCTGGAGTGTCTGCAGCAGGAGCGGTACCAGGACACTGCAGCATGTCACTGTGCCTGGGGATACTGTGGAAAATCCCAGTTCCAAACGGCTGCTCGTGTGCTGGAGGCTCCGGCAGAGACGGAGCATCAGCAGCTGCTGGCACAGCCCTGCCTTTGTGCATCACATTTGGCCAAGATGGAAACTGAGCCGAGCCCAGGTTTCGTTTCCTACATGCCCCAGCACAATGCCACCCTGGCAGCCTCGGCAGTGCCAGGGCTCTGGAGCTGGGTGTGATGCTGCACCGAGCTGTGGGGCTCCAAGGGGGGACCCAGGGCTGCTGCGAGGCCCTGATGGGTGGAGGTGCGAGGTGGGACAGGACCCGAGCGAACCCACGCGTGTGCCCGTGCCGGTGGCCCTCATGGGCATTGCCATGGCAGCTGTGACACTGGCGAGCGTGGCGTGGATTCACCAGGGCTGCTGGCAGCCCCACAGGCCCCCTGGGAACACCGGAACACCACTGGAGCTCTGCCGGGGCTGACTCTGCCCACCAGCTGGTGGTTCTTGGGGCAGAGGGTCCCCATCGCTCTGGGGAGCGCAGTGCCATGGGCAGGGCCCCTCATGTCACCCCAAGGCGCAGGGGTCCCCTCCATGCCTGTGGGGCTGGCAGGCGGGTGGGGGGCTCGCAGAGCCCTGCCTGGGGCTCCCACACCTCGGCGGGGCTGAGCAGCGGTGCCCGGGGCATGCGGGCAGCGGTGAGGCTGCTCCGGCAGGGAACGCCGTGCGGGGCCGTGCGGGGCCGAGCGGGGCCGAGCGGGGCCGAGCGGGGCCGGTGGCCCCGGGGAGGCGGAGCAGGGGCTGTGCGCGGCTCCGGCAGCGCCGGCGGCTCGCAGCGAGAGCGCTGCGGTGCGCACGTGTGCGGCGGAGCGGGCACGGGGGAGTCCCGGGCAGCCCCGGGCAGAGCCTGCCTCCCCCGGGAGCCGGGAACCGAGACGGCTCTGCCCCCTCGGCCCCATCCTGCCCGGCTGCTTGCCCAGCGTGTGGCCGGGGTGGCGAGGGCGGCGGGGAAGCCATCTGCAAAGCGGCGGCGGTGGAGGGGTTAAGTGCGGGATCAGCTGTTCTCATGTCATTACGGATTCTCTTCATTTTATACAGAGCTCTGTTTGATGTCTGAATGCACAGGGGACTCCCCCTCCTCCTCCAACTCCCACCCCTTTTATTTCGCTCCCGAGCCCTCTCTCCTTCCTCCTCCCCTTCCTTTCTCTCCCGCTCCGCTCTGGCTCACGCACACCCTTTGCAGACCGTGCGCTCAGTGCCAGTGGCTAATGGCCCCGAAGTGAAGAGCCAAGCGCTGCTCCGGCGGCGGCGCGGCCGGCCTGCCGCAGATGAACCCTCCTAAGTAGCGCCGAGGGGTCGGGAGGGACGGCGAGGAGGGGAGAGCCCGAGGGGCCAGCCGGGAAGACGAGGATAGCGGTGGATAGCGGTGTGCGGAAGAGGACGGACCCGCGAGCAGCTCCACGGCTACCTGTCGACACATGCTGTGCTCCATGGCTAACTCGGGCTGCCTCCTTGTCTCCAACTCAGGCATGCTTCCTCACTCTCTCCCCTGTCCTCCAGCCTTCCTCTACCTCCAACAGGTAAGCCACCCTCTCCGGGGGATTTTTTTGCTTTCCGGTTCACACGTGTTTGTGGCTGGCTCCCTCTCGGCTGAGGGTAAGAGCCTGGCAGGTTCCTCCCAGCCTCCGCGGGGCGGCCGGAGCTGTGCCGGCTCCTGGGCTGCAGTTTTTGGGGATTCTCCGCTGTCCCCGCCGTGGCTGCGGGGGCACGGCCAGGGCAGAGGCGCGGGCAGTGCGGCAGGCAGAGCCCAGGCGCGGCTCCAGCGCTTCCCCGCCTCGGTGCTGCTGCCGCTGGGCGATGATGGATGCTCGGATGAAGGAACGAGGCTCCTGCGTGGCCTGAGCAGCCTCCGGAGAGAGGGGAAGGTGCAGAGCTGGTGTGTGCACACGCGTGGGCACGTATGTGTGCGTGTGCTGGCATTGTGTGCGCACAGCCGGGGCACAGCGCGCGGGGTTTGTCCCGCTGTCACAGGAAGGTGCTGCAGAGGCACTGGGGCCCAGGGCAGCCCGGGCAGAGGCTGCTGAGGCTGTCAGTTTGGTCCTTACCCGGTCCAAGGTTCTGCTGTCCCACCGGGCTGTCCTGGTTCCTGTGCTGGACCCCGAGTGCCAGGTTTCCGGGCCCATCATCCCAGGGGAAGAGCGGCTTGGGAGAGGCAGCATCTTTTTCAAATGCCTCTGTGCTGCGTCGGAAATCCCGTCTCCCAGCCAGGCAAACCACTCCATTTGTGCTTTCAGGAGTTTAAAAATTCATGGCATCCTCCCTGCACTCGGCGTGGCCGGCGCGGTTCACCCAGCGGCGAGGACAGGCACGGAGGTGCCAACCCTCGGCCCCAGCGGGAAGGGCTGGCCAGTGTTTGGGCCCCCGGCATGTCTGTGGCCAGTGGTGGTGGGGATGGCAAGGCCCAGGTCACGCTGTCCTGCACTGGCAGGGGCTGGGGGAGCCGGTGGTGGTGACAGGAGTGCGGGCACAGGGGCTGCTGAGACGGGCCCATGATTTATTGCACCCTGCTGAGGACAGAGCCTGGGGACAGCCAGGGCACGGGGACAGCCAGGGCACGGGGACAGCCAGGGCTTGGGGACAGCCAGGGCACTGGGACAGACAGGGCATGAGAACAGCCAGGGCACGGGGACAGCCAAGGCATGGGGACAGACATGGCACAGCGACAGCCAGGGTATGGGGACAGCCAGAGCCTGGGGACAGCCAGGGCCTGGGGACAGCCATGGCATGGGGACAGTCAGGGCATGGGGACAGCCAGTGTACGGGGACAGCCAGGGCTGTGCTGGATCTCACTCTTGTCTTCCCTAAGCTGCACTGAGGTCCCTGTGGCCGCTGCACATCTGACACTGAGCAAAACCTGTCCCTGAACCCCCACCTGTCCCGGGAGTGGTTTCTGTCCCTGTGACGGGAGCACATGGATGCTTTGGATGGGCAGGGCCCAGAGCCTCTCTTGAATATGGCATTTGTCCCTGTCCAGCTGGGATCCCCCTGTCCCTGGCCACACGAGGGGCTCAGCTGTGCTGCTCTCTTGCCCTGCGGAGCACTCTGCCATGGATCAGCCTGGCTCTGGCAGCAGGAGTGACAGCATGGCCAGACCAGTGCTCCCAGTGCCTGCAGGGCTGGGCTGAGCAGAGCTGCGGGTCCTTGGGAAGCAGCAACTTCCCTGGGTGTGCTGCTCTTCACCTGGCAGCTCCCAGTTCCCCATCACCCTGCCTGGTGCTGTTCTGCATCTCTTCCTCCCTGCTCTCCCAGAAGCCTCCTGCTCCTTGGCAGCAGCTCTGGACTTGCACGCCAGGAGGAGGGTTTTATTACAGGATTTGGAGTTGGATTTTCAGCCGGCTGATGAGCACGATGGAGGTGAAAATCTCCGTCCTCTTCCTGGGGTTTATCCTGCCCTGGGGTTCTGCACTCAGCACTGGGGGACAGTTGTTCCTGATCCATGTCACACCAAACTGTCAGGGACAGGGGCGCCACTGGCAGCCACCACGTGGGGCAGGGCATGGGGCATGTGCTGCTGATGGGCCCCTCAGTGGGTGTGCCTGGCACCTGCTTTAGCTTTCTGAATTTCTCTGCATTTTACACGTGTCCACCTGCGCCACCTGCACACAGGGAGCGATGCTGCTTCTGCCTGGGGGCTGTGCCCACCCCAGAGCTGGCCTGGCCAGCTGGCCTGGCTCACCTCTGTGTAGCACGGACACCTGAGAGGGTTCAGCTGACTCTGCCTGAGCTGGTTGTGCCGTGGGGTCTGGGGGAACTTGGTTTTGATTCGCTGGGTTACAGGTCCCAACCCTTTATGGGTTTGTAAGGGGCGTACCATGATAGTGCCAGGGCCAGTGACCAGGACTGAGTGCTGGGCTGGCCAGTCGGTCCGGAGCTGGGGAATGCCAGGGTCTGCACACAGTGACTGCCCTCATCCCCTTCAGACACTGCTCACCCTACCAGGAGCCTGTGGCTGCACTGGCTCCCGAGGATGCTGCTGATGTTTCGTAGCTCCCAGCCCCAGCGTTCTCAGCCGTGTTGGGATTTGAAGGAATGACCGAGTAATGAAGCTCTCAGCAAAACTTCAGGAAGGGTTCAGCAGTGCCAGTGACTCTTCCAGATGCTGTGGGTGCCTCTCAGCTCACTTTGCTCTGCTCCCTCCCTGTGGCCACCCTGGCAGGAGCCGTGGGCTGTGGCATTCTGGGTTGTGCAGCCACGCTGTGCCCAGAACTCCCCCTGGCACTGCCGTGCTCTAAGGGCAGGATTTCTGGAGGGCAGGGGCACAGGAGGGTGGGTAATGTCTGCAGCAGAGCAGCCTGGGCGACTGGGAATGCTGCATCCTTCGGTGGGGCTTGGCAGGGACGTTTGGCTCTTGCTCACTGAGGGTCTGGGTGGGGAAGGACACTTTGGTGGCTTCGTTTGTTAGCAGAGGAATCAGTCTCTGCTTGGAACACATCTGTGCTGTTGTGAGTGAGCAAGGCATGGCTGCAGGGCAAGGCTCAGTGCTGACCCAGGCCAGGCCTGGGCTCTGAGGCTCAGCATCAGTTCCCTGCCCTGGCACAGCCCTGGTGCAGCCCCAGCCCCGTGCAGCTCTGACCCCAGCCCAGCCCAGGTTGATGCACAGGTGTGCTGGACCCCCCTGCAGTGCAGCTCTGACCCCAGCCCAGCCCAGGTTGATGCACAGGTGTGCTGGACCCCCCTGCAGTGCAGCTCTGACCCCAGCCCAGCCCAGGTTGATGCACAGGTGTGCTGGACCCCCCTGCAGTGCAGCTCTGACCCCAGCCCAGCCCAGGTTGATGCACAGGTGTGCTGGACCCCCCTGCAGTGCTGCTCCTCACCAGGAACATCCCCGGTGCTCACAGTCACACCACGGCACAGGAGACTTGGCTGAGCCGTGCCTGGCCCGTCGGGAAACAGCCTCTGCAAATCCTGCTTGGAAAATTCCTTTCCAAAAGGGCTGCTGCCAAGTTTAGCATGTTATATTTTTGGGAGCAGGTCTATTCCGAGCGGTGTTGCCGTGCCTTGCAGCAGCGGGTTCGTTTCAAACCGGGTTTCTCCCCCTGCTCGTGCGTCGTGAGGATGTGAGACCTGGCACAGGAGCAGATCCCAGCTCTGCCCGTGCTGTGGCAGCTGCCCTGCTCAGTCAGGACAGGCCCCAAAGCCCCCAAAACATGTTTTCTGCTCCGGATTCTCATACATTGAAAACACTGACATTAATTTTAGGTTTGCAAGGCTGCTCTTCCCACAATAGCTGTGATTTTGGCCCACTCTGCCTGGAAATGCTCTTTTTATAGGTATATTCCTATTTTTATGCTGTAGTGATGGGTGAATGAGTAGATTAAATTAGATTTAGTATCTGTCATTCTTTAAAGCATCCCATGCAGTTGAGGGGGGTGTAACAAAGAAAGGCTAATTAGGAGAGCGGGTGCAGGCCACCCCCACCAGCTCCACCACCCCTGGCCCTGGGGCTGCCCCCTCTCAGGGGCAGCATCCAAATAGGAAAATGCTTCTGAAACGTGGTTTTCCTGTGCAGCCCCAAGGCCAGGCCAGCTCCTGGTCTGTAGCAGGAGTGCTGGGCACCCCGGGCACCTCCAGGAGCTTCAGGGTCACTTTTCTGCCTGGCTCATCTCCCCAGGGGATGGGGCACTGTGTCTGTGGAATGGTGGGCTTCCACGGAGGAGCCAGGGGCACCAAGGGGCACTGCAGCCCCTCCAGGAAGGGCATTAGTCACTTTGGTGCAGGTTTTTGTAGGCAGCTGGGTGCCAGGGGGGCGTGGGGAGCTGTGCCAGTGTTGGGAAGGTTGGGAATGGTCCCTGGGCACAGGAGAACTGAATGTCCAAGGATGGAGCTGGATCTTCCAGTGCTGGTGTGAGCCTAGCAGCGTGTGCTCAGGGGCTGTGCAGTCCTGGCCATGCTGTGGCTACTGACCCAGTGACTTGCCAGTGCCATGGAGCAGGCTGGGAGCTGCAGGATTCGCTCCTCCACTGCCCATGGGCAACCCCGAGAGGGCTTTAACTTGCCCCACCTCCCTTGGCATTCAGGGGCTGGGAGGGAGCAGCTGTGCCCCCTCACTCCCTGGAGCATCCCAGCAGGTGGATGTGGAGTCTGTGGTGGCCACCACAGTGCTGTGGGCATTGCCTGACAGGGGTCAGCTCCCAAATTCCATACAAGCCCTGCTGTGCCCAGCCAGGATCCACACCCGGGTTCTCACCACAGCCTTCAAACAGCTCCTGTGGAAAATCAAAACTGCAGAGAGAAGAGTGGGAGCAGGCGACAGTGGCAGCTTATTTGTGATCTGCATTGTGTGGGGAGCCCTTAATTAGAGGTAATTAGACTAATTAACTTGCAAATGAGAAACTCGTCTTTTTCTCCTTTTCTTTTACAAGAAAGAATAGAAGAGACAAACAACAAGATAAATATTGAGGCTAATTGCGTTGTACCTGCTGCAGACCCCTCAGCCCATGGGCTGCCTCTGTGCCCCCAGCCTGGCGCTGTGTGCCATCCCTGTCCTGGTGTCCTGTGGTGGCTGTCCCCGCTCAGGGCT